CACACACACACACACGCACACGCACACGCACACGCACACGCACACGCACAACTATTCTTTGTACATATCACGGAAAAGCAGACCAACGCGCACTGGCGCAGGCATGCACAAACACAAGTACACCTCGTCCCACCGCGAGGCTGCTGATAGATCGTCGGCGAGAGGTCGACGGAACACACTGTCTATCACAGCCCCATCGTATTCGCCTTGCTTACCTGGCATTTGTGTGACCACACACACCACATCCGCACACATGTAAATAAATCTTCTTTCGGCCTTTCTCCACATCCGCATTTACACACGCGCAGCCATGCGCACAGCGATTCTCACAAATGCTCCGACCATGCGCACGCACATGCGGAGAAAGGCTTGAAAAGAATACAGTCGTCGCTGCCCTCGACGTCCTTGTCGCAGAAGATGTCGAATGCTGGTCGATTGTCGGTGGAAGTCGTCACCTTTGGTTGTGAAGTCGTCCAAGCGAGCCCTCTTTTTTTCTTAAAAACAAGACAGGGCTTAAAAAAAAAAAAAAAAAAAAAAAAAGGGGCGAACTTTTGTACTATACGGTAAGAGTGTTATCTGTAGGACAGGAGTGTTATTACACTATTCTCTTACTCCGAGCCATGTCCATACATACAGCGGTTATCAGCTTTCCAACTGGCTTGCTATAGCACTACTATAGTCAACACTATTCTCTTACTCCGAGCCATGGCAGATCCTTAGGACTGGGAGAGAGCAATCCTACTCTTTCTTACCTGGCCTCGTCGTTATCCGTTTTAGACGAATCAAAAGAAGACAAAAACAATAAGAGGCCATCTGTTGATATCCTAGTACGATGGTATCTATATACAAGCTAAATGAATAAATAAATAAATCCTGTTATCTTGTCTGTACCGGATGCATCTTTCCATTTTCTGTGGGAAGATGCACTCGAACGTTTTCCGTTTCGACAGTGGTGTAGCGAGGCCCAAACTCTACCGCGGTGGCAATACTGTAGACGAAGCTTAAAGGGAAAATAACTCATTGTTTTACTCCCAGCCATGGCAGATCATTCGGATTGGAAGAAAGCACATTCTTTTACTCCGAGCCATGGCAAATCTTTAGGATTGGGAGAAAGCACTGCAACGAAGCTAGGTAACGGGCCAGCAAATCCCAGTGGGGAATCCCCAGCACCACCATCCCCCGTACGACTCCAGGCAACATTGCCACTATAGCTGCTGGTCTGTTCGACGTCATCGATGTCAACCTGCATGGAAGATGACGATGGAGGTATACTCGGCATTTCCAGTAAGGACTGGAAATAATCATCACCTACTGAGCGCCCCTCCGATCGCAGACGGTTTTCATACTGCTCCCTCCCCAGTCTAACAGCATCCTGCTCCCCAAATCCTCCTCCTCCTCCTCCTCCTCCTCCTCCCCATCGTCCTCCCCCTCCTCCTCCTCTGCCTTCTGCTTCTCTTCTTCCTCCATTCACTGCTCCTGCAAGTGGAGCTACTTCTCCTTCCCCCGATGGCGGGGTTCTCCAAAATACCCCTCTTATAAGGTTCCAGATTCGTCTGTGGCACTTGAACTCGCAAATTAGTCCCAGAAGATGGCTGCCCAAAACCACCACTAGGAGGATAAGCCAGTCAGGAGGCCCTTTAATATGCTCATTTCTGTGGCCGCTGCTTTTGTCTGCTTCTCCAGTTTGATTTGTCTTGCTCCCGTTCTTCCGGTCGGAGGATGTATTCGTTAGCCTGCTGCTGTAATTACCTGCTACTCCCTTCTCCGATATCAAAGCGCGACGGCCTTCGTCCTGCTCCACTCTGCAACAGCAGAACATAGCCTGCCTGCTACCATCGAGGAGCCGAGGTCGAGAGGCGGCCATAGCTGCGCACCAGTCCATAGCCTCCTCTGTCAGCGAGCCTCCTCCCGAGAGATGGGCATCGATCGACACGTTGACGACAACAGTTATGGAAGCACGGCTATGGCGTCGGCTGGGGCTTCGTCTCCCTGCCTTCCAGATTTGCTGCCAATGGTGGTCGTCTTGCACCAAACACAAACCTTGGTGAGTCCAACTCTTCGTGGAGATGTCCGAGACTGAAGACGACGACGACGGCTCAGTCGGCCTTAGGACAAGAAGTCTCGTTGTAAAGTACAGGTCTTTACTATGATCCCTCCCCCTGACAGTCCTCACCTTCCGTCTACCCCTAGCTTTCCTCCTCGCCCTCGGAACTCGCTCCGTCACACAACACTCTATTTGCATTTCGCCGCTTTCTGGGCCAGGTGCATTCGGACGAGTCCAACATTTGGAATGCATCGGGTCCACAAAGCGTCCAAATGTACGTAGAGTGTGGTGTGGCGGAGCGAGGCCCCTCGTCTTCGCGGCCGTTCGCTTCCAAGCTGCCCCGGTGTCAGCATGAGAAACAGTGTTCCCCCCTGGTCCTCGCTCTTTGTCCGTGTCTGGATCGGCATGTGGACGGGAAAACATACAAGACGCATTGATGATTCTCCCTGTGCCACGTGGCTGACTTCCACAGCCACCACTGGTAGTACTATCCACTTGGGAAAGCTGCAAGTGGTCGCACGCTGACAAGACCAGGCTAAATGAGTCCGTATCACAATGGAGCTCAGTGAGATCGAGTCCCCCGGCGACTCCCGCCAACACACACACCGGGACGAGGACAAACCACATCCACATCCCAATCTTGATCCCGATCCCATCCGGAAGACCGCGACCCGCTTCCTCGCTGATTCTGTCCGACTGGACTGTCCATCTCCTCGCAGATACCGAATTTCCCCTTCTCACCCTCTTCCATGCTTGCTGGGCAAAACTCACTCCTCCTTCCTTTGCAAAACCTTCTCCTTCTCCTCCTCCTCTTCCTCCTTCTCCTCCCCCTCCTCCCCCTCCTCCTCCTCCTCTTTCCTCTCCCTCTAAGACATCCCCAACGACTGATTGCCCTTCGCTTCTCTTCTTCATGTCATCGGCTTGGTGCCCCGCGACTTCACATCCGCGAGACGAGGGGGCAGACGAAGCTGAGCTGAGCTGTTGCCTGTCAGGATCTCCGGCCGCACGCGCGACGGTATCCCATCCGATGGTCGGTTGATCGCAGTCACGTGCGCAGACAAGCGGCCGCAGACACGACGGTGACGAGGGTTTCAGGATGTGATTGTCGGGATCTGCAGACCGTCCCGGCTCGCGGTTTGCGCGGCCAACCCGCCGTGCCCTGTGGTATTATTTCTTGGACGGCGAGCTGCGGATTTGCCAGACTTCACACGTGTCAGACGCTAGGTAAGTCTTTGGACGCGAACTGCGGACATGTTCACGCTTATTAGCCCAAAATACACATAGCATCCGTGGACCTGGATTCGTCCGACCGAACGTGACGCTCATGCCAGGCGCAGGTCCGACCGTGACTCCCGTGACTCCGGTGACCTCCCGTGACCTCCCGTGACCTTCATGCCAAGCACGGGTTCGATCGTTTTTTTTTTGAAGGATTTTTTTTTTTTTTTTTTTTTTCTTTAAAAAGGGCGACAGCCTTAAGATATTATCATTGAGGTTGCCGGCCCTAGTAGTAGGTTTTATTTGTCAAGTTTCATCATCTGGGTTCGAACACAGGTGTGTATTTCAACAGTTAATCGGTGTACCCACTGAGATAGGCTCTTGGGTGTTTTTATGGAAATTTTCGAAATGCCCCCGAAGTTTGCCTTTATTTGCGGCGTGAGGCGTGCCCCTGTGAAGGCCGACTTACCCTGTGGTGCCCCTCAGGCCTCTGACATTTTCCGCAGGCCCCTGTCAGCATGGGCTGTAAGTTTCCGATATGCCCTTACTGGACCGCTGGTGGCGTTGCGTCGGTCCGTCCTTGAAATGCCCTCACGAGGGGCACACATCTTTCTGTGATGCCCTTGCAGCATCGGCAGCAGAAATTCAAAGTGGTAGGCATTCCACACGCCGCCACGGAAAAACGGTCTGTATATGTGTGTGTGTTGTGTGTGTGTGTGTGCGCATGTTTGTGTATATGTGTGTTGTGTGTGTGTGTGTGTGTCCATGCTCATCGCCAAACTTCTGATATGCCCAGATAGCATCTCTCCTGGGGCCAGGGGAAAGACTGCGAGTGTCAACGACGACCACCGCGGCTCGCTGGACAGATGGACGGTACCAATAAGGGCATATGGGAAACTTTTGTGCTGGTTCTCAACAGCCATCCGGTAGGGGCATACTTGGTACTGGTACCAGTAGGGGCATACTGAAAATTTGGTACTGGTACCGGTAGGGGCATATGAAACATTTTTCAGGCCCAAACGACACCAGCGGTTTTCTGGAAACATCATTCGTTATCAGAGGGGCGCGACAAGGTAAGTCGGGCGTCAGAGGGGCACACCGCAAATAAACGCAAACTTCAGGGGCATTTCGAAAATTCTCCCTTTTTTTTGTGTTTTTTTTTTATGGGCCCTGAGTGTTGTAGAGGCCAAGGACCAGACCCGTGGTGATTGCTGGTAGCGACAGCCAATGGTTGTCCTGACAAGATTTCCTGCAGGTCCGAAGGCAAAGGCCTTGACTGACACAGGTAATTCAGAAATTGATTCCACTATAGTGGCGGCCTAACTCAGTTGGTAACTTGAAGGTTCGCAAGTGGCACTCAGGAGGTCGTGGTTTCAATCCCCAGTGGCCTTGTAGCGAACCATTTTCTGTAATCGCGCGACTTTCTGCGCGAAGCTGCCTTGGGGAAATGGGACGGGTCAGATGGGTGAGCTGTGGAGAGATGGGTTGGTCGGGCAAGTTGCATGGGTACCATCGTTTCTTTTTTTTCTGTGGGAATCTGTTGGGTCGGTGTCGAGAAAGTCCCGCGTCAACGATTGGGTAACCGCGCCTTAACGAGCGCGATGGACAACGGTTGCCATGGCTTCTTTCTTGTTCTACTATGAGCACTAGGAATTTTTGGCGCGATCATCGCGCGGGAATGTCGTTTTTTTAATTTTCAACTGACGCTGAGTCCCCACGGGCTCGCGGAACTGTTTTTGGGCTTTTTGGAATTTCTTTTTGCAACTAGGACTTGGACTAGGAATTAAGGTACTCTGAATTTTGCTGCGCCACACTTCTCACTCGCGCACATCTTGATGCGCTAGGAACTGGGCTCTGACTGGATCGCGCCCTTAATCTTGTGTAACTGTCGCTTTTGACGAGCGCGATTGTAACTGTATCTTTCTTCTTTTTTTATTTCCTCGTGTTTGCCCGCCTTCTTCTTCTTTGTCTTGCATGCTTAATACTCTGTTCTAATTGGCCTGAACGCCTGCACGACCGGATCGATACGTGGAGTGCGGCTACGACCCCCACGCCACGGCCTGGCCATGCAGACGTAGGCACTTCCTCTCTTCTCCTCCTAACCACTTGGGCTTAATCTCATATCTTTCGTGCAAGCATGCATGCTATAAATTTTGCAAGCGCGATTAGTTTGCTCTCTATGAACTTTGGAGTTAGCGCGATCAGTGAGGGTCGGCTAACAAGTCAGCTTGAGAGGTGAGTCGACGAGAGAGTTGGGCGATCTGACGAGCTGGTGTCGGGTATGCGGGGTTGACGTGCGGGCCGCAACGGACTGTGGCGCACGGGCGAACCTGGCTTGCATGCTCGAACCAAGTGGGGTGACAACTCTGTGTTGATGCGCGGCGACGGACTGCCCGCATCGGGAACGTGTAGAGCAGAGAGAGAGAGAGAAAGCAACTATGTGTGGGATGAGGTCTCTTCTTCCAATTATCTGTATAATTTTGATTTCTACTTTGGTCGATCTTGTTGCGGCCCTCTCAGACTTTCCTTGTACATCATTTCGGGTTTTTTCTTTGTCGTTTTTGCCTCGTGTGTATGCATGAAATGAATGCGAACCCTTTTCGAGTGATATTTTCGGATTTTAATTCTTGTTCTGTGATGCCTTCTTAATTCAAATTTCGTCACTTTCTAGTATCCATCTGCGTCGTGCAATAATCCCGGGTCTGATTAAAGACACTCGCTATGAATGTTTGGGTTTAATCGTTAGCCTTTGATCGTCATCAGATCACGGAGAATGTTGTGATGTGTTGGCCCTCGATGCCAGGTCAATTGCCCCCCCCCCCCTCCCCTTCTCTTTCCCTTCGTCACATGAATGGCGTGGATGTGAATGTAATGACTGGATCTCACCCGAAATAGTATGGGTAGGATAGTTGCATGCAGGTAGGGCACAATCGATACACCGACACGAGAAACCCGAGTCTGATCCACTTTCATTCATGTGCACACTCGCGTACGACCAAGATCTCGAGAAAAACGAGTCGCAGCGTACGCGCACGTCTGCATGAGTCGACCTCGATCCTGGCTCACTATAAAGGATGTGGGAGACCGAGTTCACTAGTCGGATATGGTTGTAGAAACTCTCTTTTGGGTCATCAATCGTGACAGTCTGAGGGACCCGGAGTATCGCGAATACTGGGAGGGTGAACATCTCAGACGGCGAGGAAACTTGAGAAACCTGGAATTCCCCTATCTGACGGAGAATGACCGACTGTGCGCGGGGGATTTTCACTGGGCCATAACTAGTGATCCTAGGGGCCCAGACTATCTGAATACTAACAACACTCAGTATTACATATCTCTGGGCTTCGTCGTTATTAATATCAGTTTCCCTCCCTTTCATCTCCTCCTTCCATATCACCAGCTCATAGTGGTACCGTGGAATTCCATAGCTCGCTATTGGCCCCGCACATCGTGCGAAGAGTACCAGTGGTACCAGGCGTATCGGGCTTCGGGATTTATCCGACGAACCCGAACCGAAGCCGAGCGACGATTACACAGCTTCCGCTTAAGGCCAGCCTCGTCGAATTCCAAAACTTGTTACGAGCGGCGCCGACAACTGTTCGAACAACGCGACAGTCATGGTGTCCCACCGGTCCACCAGATAAGGGACCGACCACGGCAACGCAACTGGAAGAGACGATAATCCCATCCCAGAATAATGAAACGCCAGATACGATCTTCGCATACCATCTTGCACCATTGTCCCTAAACTTGCCACCGGAGATCTCAGTTCCGACCTTGGATTCCATCCCCAGTTTCCTAAAATCCTTGGCACGCCCCCTTTTCGCACTCCCGGCCCTCATCCCACTCCGATCAGGAAGTCGCTTTTGGGGGTGAGGTTGGGCGTCACAGCCTCGTGTACCTTCCTGGGCATGCTTGGCGCCTGCCACCTAAAAATATACCACTGGATCACCTGATCGGCATTGAGCAGAGTCTGTTGATGTTCGTAAGGGTGGGGACCACCAGCTGAGGGGAGGCACAGGGATTGGTCCTGTTGGCATGGTCCCTGATGCTACCGGTTGTCCCCTAGCCGGTATCGCCCACCTGCAGGTCGGGAGCAGCCCTTGCATGTTCTTTCCTGACCACGGTTCTGGCTGCTACGGGGTTCCCCGTATGCCTACAATTAAAAGTACTGGTAGGTAGGTAGTGTGAGGTGAAATTGAGAGAAGAATATAGCTTTAAAAAAATAAAAATAAAAAAGATCGAGCTTGCGTCCATGTTTCACCAGTTGAAGGGTGTACCAACCAATCCTGTAAGGGCCTACTCACACTTGGGCCTTTTATGGCCAAATAGCTAAAATTTGATGGTTGGGCCAGTCCCACGAGGCAGGGAAAATGGCAAAAGCAGCAAACCGGAGGATGTGACCCACTAGCGGGGGTTAAGTTTATGTTTCGTGTATGGTCACACTAGGGCCGTGAGATTTTCAGATCGGATGGCAAGGAGTCATGTACACTCGAAACCAGAATAAATTCACAAGAAGTGGGACATGGCCCCGGGTATCAAATGTAAGCGGTCCGGCGGGCCGCCGGGAAGGGCATTTTGCTACTACCTCTGGAGGTGGTAGCAATTTTTTTTTTCAGCTCGAGAGTTCGTGAAAGGAAATTAAAGGAAATTCAAAACGAACTTTGTTGGGAAAAAAAAAAATTAAGGATTTGGGTCTCGCACTTGTGACCACGCGGGGCACCATTTTGGCAATTTGCCAGAAAGTCCGGCTTGTGTCTTTTGTGATTTGTTTCCGCTATGTGACCCGGTGGGGAGG